GGTGGGGGCGGCGGGTGGGGGCGGCGGTTGTTGGGGTGGGGGCGGCGGTTGTTGGGGGGGCGGCGGTTGTTGGGGTGGGTGTTGTTGGGGTGGGGGTGGTGGTTGTTGGGGTTGGGGTGGTGGTTGTTGGGGTGGGGGTGGTGGTTGTTGGGGTTGGGGCGATGGTGGTGGTGTTGTTGTTGTGCTGCGCTGGTGTCGGGGCATCAATCGGCAAAAGTGTTTGTCTGGATGCACCCTGTAATCCTGGTGTGCACCACTAGGGGGCGCGTCCCTGGGCCTGGACACTGGGGGAGGGGGCGGGTGTCCCCTGTATGGACACTGGCAGGGGGTCCGGATACTGTGTGGTTGTCCCCCATGGACATCAGCGACAATTCCTGCCCATCTCCTGGGCTCGATCACTCTTCAGAGACGCATGTGAGAGCAGTGGAGCCGGGTTGTGACAGGTGTCGGAGCCCGTCACGCACAGCACCGTGTGGACGTCAAGATCCTCACTCGTGTTCAAATCCCATCACTCCTGGCATCTCCCTCCCTCTCCGACCTCCTCACTCTCCAATCCACCACCCGGCCCCTCCACCCGGCCGGCACTGGTCTCCTGCTCGTCCCTCGCACCTCCACCCCCCCGCCCCCCCACCATTGGAGATCGCGCTTTCAACCACTACGCCCCGAAACTCTGAAACACTCTCCCATAATCTCCCAGCCTTGACCCCTCTCTCCCCTTTTTCCAGTCCTGCCTGAAGACCTTCCTTCGACTGTGCTTACAGCCACCTCCCCCCCCACCGGCTCGGAGTCAGGCTCCATCACTGTTAAGCGCTCTGAGACGCTACCCTGCGTGGAGGGCGCGATATAAGTGCAAGTTGTTATTGTTGCAGTTGATTTAATGATTTGTGGCTACTTAAGCACATTTATTTGAACCAAAACAAGTCAGGAGGATTTCATGATTTACTATACTTTGCAAAGGTTTAAATTTAGTGATTGGAGATTGTAAAAAGTTATGTCATAAGCAGCATTTAGAGAAAATGTAGGTCAGAGATCTTTTGGGTTCTGACATTTTATTTCCTGAAGCAGAAGAATCTAATCAGTGTTCCTACATTTTGTTGCACTTGTGCAATTTGGTCAGGTATAATCACATAATTCAGGACTGAATGTGGGCATATATGACTGTAATCAGCACGAGAAAAGTGTTTTGCAATTGCAGTAAACAGAATTTTCTTTCAGTATGTGTTTTTACTATTACAGTAACAGTGGTTTCATGATTTCCTGTTCTATTTGAACATTTCAATTAATAACCTTCAATTGTGTTGATAAATTTTATTCCCATAACTGACAAGTACAAACAATCCATCACAGTACAACAATGGTTAATCTTTGCACTCGGATAAGTGAATATATATATAATGTCATGCCTTTGTGGTTATCATTTTTTGTATTGCATGTTAATTGTACTGATTGCCACTGCACATATCTGTATAGTGAATTCACAGTATATATGGGTTGGACATACAATATACATACACTTTATATTAAAAAAATCGCATCTTCACTGTGCTTTGGACAGCAATCAATCTCACAAAATGGCATTAAAGTATGGCATTAAAAAATAGCACCTTCAAGCTTGATCACTACCGTTTTAGTCCATCTTCACAGTTATTCTGGTGAGATGGTGCAAAGCTTTAATGATCATTCATTTTTCAGGTTTGACCAGATTATTGTTTAATCATAGATTGTAGTTTGGTATACAGTATTATGGCCTAGAGAATTAATAGGGATATTCTAATTTGATTTTAGAGGTTGAACCACAAATTTAAAGGTCACTTGGACAATATGATTTACTTCAGCCACTTCATGAAAAGTACTTGAAGAAAAATCAAATGAAAGGTTAGGGATAGAAAGGGGGATGAGTTTAGATTCTGTTGTTCTGCTAGGATAGCACGGTGCACTGACCCAACCACAGAAACATGTGGAAGAATGATGATAATTGTCTTTAGAAGTACTTAATTGTATTTAATGCAAGTGTTTAACTGTATTTAGATGCCCAGGTGTGAGTGCCATGATTTTCATGGCAGATACTGATCCCGTCACCATGTTTGGTGGGACATCTTCCTTAACATGATGGAGTGATGGGGCGAAATACACCTGACAGCTTGTTTCAACTCCTCCATAGTCTCATATTGATGTTTTGTGACTGGGCTTTAAAAGGACTATGTGAACACCCTGTACTGTGGGAGAGGTGGTCTTGGAGCCAAACTGGCTGTAAGGTGATGTGTTTGGCCACAGTCCATAGAAATTGAGATAATCCTCTGTGGGTAGGGTGGTCCTCGCTGGACATGCAGCTTGCCAGACAGTGCTCTCAATGTTTCAATGGCAAGCTTTGCAGTTTTAGATGGTTAGCCTCCAGCAGTACCCCAGCACACTCAAGTCTTGGCTTTTGCCAACTTACACCTAACACACTCTGGAATTAGGTAAGCAGGAGCATCACTTTGGGGAGAGAGTTCATGTACCATTCCAGAAATGGAAATTTCCATGTGGTATACTTAAAACTCTATCTGGTTTGGATATTCGCAAGCATGATGATGTGTTTTGGCATGTGTCAGACTCCCGAGTAAACCCCCCAAAAATAACTCTACTTTGAAACTCATATCTCATGAATTGCCACTGATTATTCTGCATTTATCAGTGGTTTAATTTGCACCTTTTGGACCATTCCCGCTTCCTTCCACTGAAAGAAAACAGACTAATCTGTTTGAAAACTGAATTTTAATCCTAATCATAATCTCTTCCTGAACATGCAGCATGCATAAGGTGTCACCTTGGTTCAGTTAGTAGCACTTTTGCCTCTGAGTCAGAAGGTTGTAGCTTCAAGCTGTAAATTGGGGGTAACTAGAACAGGGTGGTCCAACCTTTTGACTGCTAAGGGCCGGATGCCCTATTTGAGAAATGTGCGTGGGTCGCATAAGCAATATTTTTGTATTTCCCTTCCAGAAACAGAACGTAACAACATCTATGAGTTATCGAGGGAGCGTGTAGGCCAGATAAATGGAGGGAGGAGGGTTGGGGCGTATGAACTCAGCCCGAGGGCTGCCAGTTGGCCCAACCTGATTTAGATTGACACTGTAGTGGAGTGCTAAATTGTTTGAGGTGCAGTTCTTCATTTTTGATTTTAACATCATGGTTTGCCTGTTCGGGTGGATGTCAAAGGTCACGTGATGCTATTCAAAACAAGAAAGAAGTTTCTCCAGGTGTCGTGGCCAACAATCCTGGCTATTTGTGGGATTTTACCGCATGCAAATTACCTGCTACATTTGCCAACCTAACAGGAATTAATTGTAGCATTTTTGGACATTTTATCATCATAGATTCTCACTCAAATTCAGAGATTTTTATTTTCTCATATCCGTTTTGAAATTTGCACACTTTGTACATGATGCACCTGACCTAAATAACCAAGGAAAACATGGTTGATGGGTAAAAATGGAAAAACCTGTTGAACCGCTGGTACTTTACATTACATAACTCGCCTTTAATCATCTTTAAAATAATACTCCCACTGCCCTCGGGGACATCTGGTTGCAATGTATGTGTAGGATGTTGTTGAAATGCACCTCTTAAGTTTTTACAGCTTCTGTTTTGATCTGACTTTTGATTTGTTTTAAAAAATGCAGAGAATGAAGAAGAATTCAAAGTAAAAAGGACTACAAACACCATTTTATTCACATCACAGCGGAAAAAGGGGAAACAGAGTAATGCTGAAAAGGATGATGAAGCCTCAGAAGGTGAGGTGTTCAGGAAGATGACTTAAAATGTTCTGTTTGTCCTGAATCAAAATGTTTGCAACAGAGATGCAGAGGTTTGTTTTACGAATAAAGTGTTCTTTTGCTTGTATCATGTAGTAACATTGGTAGGCGTTACCTCAGACACAATACAGGTGTGTTAGAGTTGCAAACAGAGAAAAATCTGATGTTATAATAATAGTCCTTACATTTCATATAACGCCTCATGGTGTTGAGACGTCTCAAAGCGCTTCACAGGATTTTACTGTGGAGTGCAGTGATTGTGTATTTGTAGGCGAACATGGCCGCTGATTGGTACACAGCAATGTTCCACAAAAGCCATGAAATGAGAGACCAGTTTTATTTTGGGGGGTTGTTGGCCAGGACACTGGAAGAATCTCCCTTCTCCTTTGAGGAGTACCATTGGATCTTTAATGTCCACAGGGAGGCAGGACAAAGATTTACAAAGAATGTTACTGACTCCCCAACCAGTGGGAACAGCCTACCTCTGCTATTAAATGCTTCTATTAGGTCCCCTGTTAAACGTCTCTTCTCTAGTNAAAAAAAGGCCTCATCTATCCAGTCCATCCTAATCTTTCCAGTCCATCCTGATAGAGCAGTAACCTGCCAGCCCTGGTATCATCCTCAAAAAAAAGTCTTCTGAAGGATGTCATCTCCATTACTGTACTGGAGTGTCAACCAGACTCTGAGTTCATTTGGGGCTTGAACTCACAACCTTCTGACCCAGAGGTGTGAGAGCCATCGCATCTTTCTGCTTGGCTTGTGGCCAGTCACTTGGTGTGTGCAACAAGGCCTGAGTAATTCATGGTTGGGTGTATGTTAGCTCCTCCATTGGAGCTGACTAGTCCCATTTTTCTGTCCTTTTCCATATAAAGATTTTATACTCTGTTTCAAAAATAGTTTCAAGCTCTAAACTCGATACCAAAGCATTCCATACTTGATCATTGCTGTAAAAGTTTATTTTTGTTAGCTTTGAGAAGTCCTCTGGATGTGAGGCGCTATGTCAAATGCAAGGATTATTTTATTATTTATTTTATTATTGATTTATGTTGTACCCTTTCAAAGGCTTTTTTTATAGTGCATGGAGTACATCAATTGTGGCCTAACCAACGTCTTGTATAAATTTTAGATCAGTTGTTTACTTTTGTCACCTTTATCACCTCAAGGCTGGACTATGGGAACTCTCTCCTCGCCGGCCTTCCCGCCACCTCCCTCCACAAGCTGCAGGTCATTCAGAACTCTGCAGCTCGTGTACTGTCCCGCATCAGGCTTCGGGACCACATCACTCCCACCCTCGCTCGCCTCCACTGGCTCCCCATCCCCCAGAGGATCGAATTCAAGATCCTCATCCTCACCTACAAGGCCATTCACGGCCTTGCTCCCTCCTACCTCTCCGACCTACTATCCCCCTACCTACCTGCCCGTACCCTCCGTTCCTCCGGCTCCGGTCTGCTCCACGTCCCCCGCCCCAACCGCCCTACCATCGGTGGTCGGGCCTTCAGCCTCTCAGCCCCCAGGCTCTGGAACTCCATCCCTCAGTGCCTTCGCCGCCTCCTCCCTTTCCTCCTTCAAGGCCGGTCTCAAGACCTTTCTCTCTGACCATGCCTTCAGCTCCCCTCTCGACTCTCTTCCCCCTCCTCGCTCCCTCCCTCCCCAATCCCTGACCATTTCCCCCCTCCTCGCTCCCTCCCTCCCCTCCCCTCACCCTGACCATTCCCCCCCTGCTCGGGTCATGACCCAACTGTGCAGCGCCTTGGGACGTCCTCCTGACGTGAAAGGCGCTTTATAAATGGAATCTTGTTGTTGTTGTTGTTGTTTTGCATAGAATGCATCTGTATATAGGACACATAATCTCTCATTTGCCTATTTATGGCTGCTTTTAGCTGCATTTCTACCTTTAAAGATAGATGTACTGTTTCTGTGTCCTTAGATCATTCTGCTTTTCAACAACAATAAGGATTTTGCCAAACAGGAGATATTTCCATTCCTAAACATATACTACTACTTTATGGAATGGTTCCCGTTGATTGGAAGGTTCCAAAGTAACGCTGTTATTTAAGAAGGATGGGAGACAAAAAATGGGGAACCATAGACCAATTAGCCTGACATCGGTGGTAGGGAAAATTCTCGAGTTTATAATTAGGAATGCTGTCGTGGGGCACTTAGAAAATCACAGTGTGATTAGGCAGAGTCAACACGGTTTTATGAAAGGGAAATCGTGTTTAACAAATCTTTTAGTTAGAGTTTTTTGAAGATGTAACTAGCAGGTTAGATAGGGGGGAACCAGTGGATATAGTGTATTTGGATTTTCAGAAGGCATTCGACAAGTTGCCACATAAAAGGTTGTTACATAAGATTAGGGCTCATGGAATTAAGGGTAATATATTAGCATGGATTGGAGAATGGCTAACGGAAAGAAAACAGAGAGTAGAGGTAAACGGGTCCTCTCAGATTGGCAGGTTGTGACTCGTGGAGTGCCACAAGGATCAGTGCTTGGGAGTCAACTGTTTACAGTCTACATTAATGATTTAGATGAGGAGATAGAGCTTAATGTATCAAAATTTGCGGATGATACAAAACTCGGTGGGAGAGTAAGCTGTGAGGATGACAACGAGGAATGCAAAGGGATATAGATGGGTTAAGTGAGTGGGCAAGAAGGTGGCAGATGGAGTATATTGTGGGGAAGTGTGAAGTTATTCACCTCGGTAGAAAAAATAGAAAAGCAGATTATTTTCCAGCAGGAGAGAGACTAGGTAGTGTTAGTGTTCAGAGGGAATTAGGTGTCCTTGTACACCAATCACAGAAAGTTAGTAAAAAAAGTATTGCAGATGCTGGAATCTGAAACAAAAACAGAAATCCCTGGGAAAACTCAGCAGGTCAGGCAGCATCTATAGAGAAAGGAAAGTGAGTCAACGTTTCAGGTCCACGACCCTTTGTCAGAACTGGACCCGAAAAGTTGACTAACTTTCCTTTCTCTATAGATGCTGCCTGACCTGCTGAGTTTTCACAGAAAGTTAGTATGCAGGTACAGCAAGCAATTAGAAAGGCTAATAGCATGTTAGCGTTTATTCCAAAGGGTTAGAGTACAAGAGTAGGGAAATCTTGCTGCAATTGTATAGGACCTTGGTGAGACCGCATCTGGAATATTATGTGCAGTTTTGGTTTCCTTACCTTAGAAAAGATATACTCGCCTTCGAGGGAGTGCATTAGGTTGGTTCCTGGGATGAGGGGTTTGATCTACGAGGAAAGGTTGAGGAGACTAGGCCTATATTCTCTAGAATTTAGAAGAATTAGAGGTGATCTTATAGAAACCCATAAGATTCTTAAGGGTCTTGACAGGGTAGATAGTGTGAGATGGTTTCCCCTGGTTGGAGAATCTAAAACTAGGGGTCATAGTCTCAGGATTAAAGGTCCGCCCTTTAGAACTGAGTTGAGAAAACATTTCTTCACTCACAGGGTTGTGAATTTATGGAATTATGGATGTGGATGCTCAGTCATTGAACATATTCAAGACAGATTGATAGGTTTTTAAAAACTTAAGGGATATGGGATAGGGCGGGTAAATAGAATTAGGTTAGAAGATCAGCCATGACCTTATTAAATGGCGGGGCAGGCTCGAGGGGCCGAGTGGCCTACTCCTGCTCCTATTTCTTATGTTCTTATATACTTACATTTCTCAACATTAAATATTAAACTTCCATCAGTTGCAGTCTGCTCACTCTGCTAAGTGCCCCCTGAAGATTCTTGCAGTCTTCCTCACGGTTTACTATATTTTTAAATTTGGTGTCAGCAGATTTAGAAATCATTTCCTAATTATAGATTGAAAACAAGAAAGGTTCCAGCACAGTTTCGAGGAGCATGACACTATCTATATCCAACCAATTTGAGAACATTTAGTTACGCCAACTTGCTACCTTCTAATTTTTTAAACATCCATCTATCTTTGCTATTATTTTACCTTTAATACCTTGTACCACGTGGAGACCTAGAGCTCAGGAGTTAGAGTACTCGCCTCGCATGCGAGAGCCCTGGGTTTGATTCCCGGCAGGGTGAAACGTTGGGCAGGTATCCTTAATCCACGTACCTATGTTTTCCTAGCAGTAAGTAGGAACTCGATTGTTAATCGATTGGTGGATTGCTTTTCTGGGGATAATAATTCCTTCAAAAAAAAATTGGTCACTTCAATCCACAACTGTTTGTAGGACACTGCATGTTGTGCCCAAAAAATATAAAGTCAATTCACTTTACAGTATGTTCTGTGAAGCGCTTTGAGACGATTTGAAGACGTGATAAGGTTCTATATCAAATGTAAGGATGATTGTATTCTTATTACCTTAATTTTCTCAGGCAGTCTCTTATTAAATCATTTAATAAATGCTTTCTGGAAATCCTTTTGTATGTCAGCTACTTCTTCCAGATTAATTGATCATCGTACTCATCGCTGTTTGTGGCATCTTGCTGGCACAGATGGTTGTGCATTTGCCCACAGAAGCAGGGGTTAAGCTTCTACAAAAATTACGCTTGAAGCACTATGCGACATTTTAACGTGGCAAGTTTTTCTCTGCATGTTTGAAATCTAGCTTTTTTTAAAGTGCAAAACAATGGCTGATTTTCGCCAAAGGCCCGATACAAATGTAATATTGTCGTTCTATGAATACACAATCTCTCCACTTCAAAGCAAAATCCTGTTAAGCACTTTGAGATATCTTGATGACATGATAAGGTTCCGTATCAACTGCAAGGATAATTATATTACGTTTAGGTTATGACTGAAGCAGATGTACAATGGATTGAAGTGATGTGGCAAATATTGGTGTTGCCAAAAATGTGTGCTCCGCTCAAATATGTGGCAATATAATTACTATGGGAAGATTAAAAAGGGCATTCTTCAGCACATGAGCAAAGGGAAAAGTGGGTTAGAGCTGAATGTTCACCCTTCTTGTTATGCTCCAACAAAGAGTTCTGTAAAAAAAAATGAAGCCATGGTATAAGGTGTATTAAGTGACGTGTATTCTCTTCGCTGTACTTTTCGTATAAGTAATGGTTTTTGAATTTGCCAGCTTTCTAATTACTAATTTATGTTATTCTCTGAGCAGAAGAGGAAATTGGTCAAGATTTCAGAGAGATGAAAGTTCAAAGGAGACCCAGTTCAGATGAAGAGGCAGAAGAAACATCCACAGAAAGTGAAGAGGAATTTAAGTCAACAGTCCATGAGGATACAAGAATCGTGAAGGATAGCTCCGGATTGGGCAAATTACAACCAGGTTTGGAATTTAAAATGGAGTTGGTGATTATTAAAAGGATTCTTTCACTTTTGTTTTTCTGAAGTACAGGAAGGAAATACACAGCTAACTTTTTTTTCTTTTGATTGGATGGTCTTTATTTGCATTCAAAGTCATAACGTGTGAGACGTTGGGTTGGTGCTGAGTGTTGTTGGTTTGGTATCAGCCTGGCTCAGTAAGCCTGGTAGTATGCTTGCCTCTGAGTCAGAAAGTTCTGGGTTCAAGCCCCACATCAGGACTTTGAGCTTGCAGTCTAGACTGACACTCCAATACAGTACTGTGATTGTTGGAGCTGTTGTCCTCTGGAGGAGATGTTAAATCTGCCTGTTATATGTTAAACATCCCGTGACAAAAATAATTCAAATTGACATATTATTCAAAATGTTTATATCACTCTTAACTTTGGTATGTATTCTGTTAACTCACTATGTATTCTGTTCAGTGCAGGTGAGATCCCAGATACCAAGTATATTCAGGCCGCTCGTAAAAGGCGAGAGACAGCCAGAAAACGAGCTGATTTCATTCCACTCGATTCTTTAGCCAAGGATGACTCTTCAATGTCTCCAGTGAGAGACGATGATCCAATCAATGATGATGAGCTCGATGATCATGAGAGGAGAATAGACTTCACTGAGGGACTGAAAACACAACGACAGAGAATGGCTGAGGAAATCGGTGAGAAGTGACCTCATCTCATGTTATGTGTAACTCCTATGGCCAGTGAGGAGTATTAACATTACATAAGTAAACATAATGGATCAGTGACAAGTATTTTGATTCAAAACTAGATTTGGGAGCAGAATGACAAATTCTTGCTTGCAATATTGGATTGCAGTTTTGGCCTTTCTTGTGTATTGTGATCTTTGAATAACTAAGAGTGCTTTCACAGCTCTTAATTGTTCTAAACTCACTCAAATCCATATTTTGCACAAAGGTTTGCTGGAGGTAGAAGAAATGCAGGCAACGCTGGCTTTCCAGTCCGTTGGGTGCTTTAGAAATGTAATTTGTTGTTGTCGTTCCTTTATAATCTTTCCTAGGGATGTGGACATGTCTGAGCTTTTCTGCAGGATCTTTCATGAGTGTCCAGCCATTGGTAGTGTTTTTATATTACCATCACAGATTCCGAAAGGTATATTTGGGGAGATTGATTGATGATTTCCTGTTTGCCTCGGGTTTTCTGGATCCACGTTCTATTCCACTTTGTATAGTATGAGTGCCTCGGACAAGTGCTCCGAGACACCGTCTGGCGTGAAGCGTGCTATATAAATGCGAGTTGTTGTTGTTTGATCTGGCTGAATCAGGAGACATCCTTGAGGATACCCGGATTTTGTGGTTAACATGCTAGCTGCTAATGGGTGAATCACATTGCTTGTTTGATCTGAGTTCTTCATAATCTTGCGTACTGTCTGCTAGGTCAATTTCCGTACTATTTATTTGTCGATGTAGTTGAATTCACTGGATAGATTCCCTCTTGTAGCTATTTTACACACAGTTGTTCAGCTGGTCAGCTCTGTACAAAGTATGTCACGTGGAGTCTTATCTGGAAAACTATTTTTTGTTTAACGGATGTGATATGAATCACCTCACTGTGAATTAAGTGTAGTGTTTTATTCTGGTCAAGTTAAATCAGTATCCTGCTGCCACGGTCACAATACCATACTAAATTACATTTGTACAGCACCTTTCACATCAGGAGGACAAGTTAATTATGCTCCTTTCGTTTGAAAATGTGATGCGTCAGTTGAGATACAGGCATTGTTATGAAATAAGTGTCTCTTTTTTTCAAATTGCTTCTTTCGAACAGCGCCTTGGGAAATCCTTCCAAAGTGAAAGGCACTATATAAATGTAAATTATATTGTATTGTTGAGTGATTGACTCTGATGCTTGCTTCATGTTTGGTGTTTGTTGATCTGTGACTGTGGTACTTCCAGGTGTAAATGAAAGTGATGAGAGCTTTGAAGGTGAATATGAGGATGAGGAGGAAGATGATCAGAAACTCTGGGAGGAACAGCAAATCAAACGAGTGAACATTTCCCAAGTAAGGATTTCATACATTTGTATCTTTTTATTTTTTAATTAAAGCACCTTTTTGTTCTTTTCCTTTTGCAGTGGGATTGGACCAATGCTCTGTACCAGTTCAGCATCATTGTCTATGACTTATTGTCTATCCCTTTGGAGACCAAGATTTAGCACTTTCTTTAGTGTTGTTTCACACCATTGATGGTTTCAGTAATCTAGTACCTCCCAAATCCATCATCAGTGCTCAACTTTCAAGTCATTTTTTTAAGGTTAAATATAATGTTTCTTATCAGTTAGCAGGCAGAGACGTGGATACTGAGCCAAGGCGTAATATGAGGAGAATGCTGAACACTCTGGAGTCACTCCCACCAATCCGCTTGGAAACTGTAAAAAAGCAATTGACTAATAGGTACATTATTTTGTTTTCCTCTTTCTGTAGTGATCTGTTTGTAATGTGATGTTTGTGGGATGGGCTGCCTTGCTTATTTAAATAAATTTGGGAGACTTGCTCTGATGCATCCTTTGTGATGGTAGGCTTCCGGAGGACATCCCAAGGCGCTGAACAGTACGGGATCAGGAGCCGAGCATGGGGACAGGGTTGGAATGAAGGAGGGCAGAGGGGGTAGGAGGGCGGCTGAAGCCACGGTCAAAAAGGAGGGTCTTGAGTCATGCCTTGAAGGAGGCGAGAGAGGGAGCAAGGCAAAGGGATTGTGGGATTGAGTTCCAAAGAGTGGGGGCAGAGAGGCTGAAAGCCCGGCCACCTATGGTAGGGTGGATCAGGCAGGAGACCTGGAGCAGCCGAAGTCTGCTGAGTGGAGGGAGTGGACAGGTTGATAGGGGATTAGTAGGTCAGAGGGGGCAAGGCTGTGGAAGGCCTTGAAATTGAGGATGAGGATTTTGAATTCTATCCTGTGAGGGATGGGGAGCCAGTGGGGCCGGGCAAGGGTGGGCGTGATGGGGTCATGGAACTTGGTGCGGGAAAGAACACGAGCTGCAGAGTTCTGGATGATCTGGATGAATAATACTAATAATCCTTGCATTTGATATTGCGCTTTTCACGTCTTCTAGACATCTCAAAGCGCTTCACAGAATATACTGTAAAGTGAATTGACCATATATTTGTGGTCAAGCGGGTCCTCTAATTCCCCTCACCTATACCCCTCTCTGCTTCCTGTGCGCAAACAATGATTTGAGTGTTTGAGTATCTGCAAAACCTCAGTGTGCTTGACAGTGTCAAACCTGACTGTGCTTCAGCTTGGCAAGCTCAACCATGGCAGTAGCACATTCGTTGCAAATGTTTTCTCTTATTGCTGTTTTTAAAAGCCATTAAGCACTTAATGCACTTCATACAAATATTTAATGGATTGCTGGATGGCAGTCAAAATTTGGAAATTTTGTTTTGCAGTATGATGTGTTGTGTAGAAAAGAAAAGGCCAAGTGAATTGAATAGAAAACTTTCAACAGGTATTATTTAAATTGAGCGCAGGACATTCATCCATAAAAATCAATCATGCCACACAATACCAAGAGCTTAATGGCTGCATATTATTTTCCTCAATATTGGTTCCACTTGTCTAAACATGAGTAAAGTAAATGGTCTACTGTTTCATGTGAGTGGAGGCATTAGAGTTTGATGTGAAATGAACAAAATTGCCATTTGCTAATGTAGTGTTTTAGACATCTGTGCAAATGTCTTTTTAATATCAGTAATTGCTCTAGTAGTGCACCGTTAAATGATAGAGCAGTACAGTATTTAAAAATGAGAAGGTGAGAGAAAGTATGCTGTGTATGTTTTCATATTTGCTCCTCTGAATTCTTCCCACCATTGCGCCTCTCCTCCTGGAGTTGGGGATCCTTTCTTGGGATCCTTCAAATGTGGTTGTCATCCTACAATAGGCGCACTTGTCATTAATACCTGGAGTGGTGCTGGCTCAACTGAGAAACAACGGCTCATCATCTCCATTGCTGATAGACCTGCAATGGTTCCGATAAAGGACCACGAGAGCAAAACCAAAATATTTTTTATTGAAATATTATTGATGCGCAGTGTCTTATCTGTTGATACCTGAACTAGCCACTCTACCGAACTGTTATTGTTGTTTAAGCAGCGACTCTTAATTACTAAAGCTGGAGTTTAGAGGCTACTGAAGAAGTTTTATAGTGGGATCTCAGATGTTCAGTCAGTCAAAGTACAGGTAGGATGTTACATGTGGCCTCGGTCAGGTTGGGGAAGAGACATTTGATGAGCATTCTTATTGGTATCTATCAGTACTGGGCTCGACCAGACAAAATGATTGCCATTATCTCTGAGGTAGGATTTGTGGATTCTATACTTTCTTGTTCTATCTGTTACACTTTTTAACAATTCTATGTGACTGGAAATTAATATCTTGAGAGAGCAGCTAAACAAGTGATAGTATAAAGTGTTCACAGCTGTGAGTGCACTTTGACTTTCTGTCCTCCCGACATGAAAGGCGCTATCCAAGTGTAATCTTGTTGTTGTATTTAATCTTGATTTTGTTTTTTCTATTTTAATTTTCAAATTCCGGATGTGACTTGTGGCATTTTGCTGTTAGAAGTTTGATAATAATGATCCTTATATTTGATACAGTGGATTATCACGTCATCGTCGAGATGTCTCAAAGCATTCCACAGGATTTACTGTAAAGTGGATTGATTGTATTAGATTGTTTTGTAACTGTTTCGCCCACAAAATACACAGCCAATTCACTTTACAGTATATTGTGTGAAGCGCTTTGAGATGTTTTGAAGATATGATTAGGCACCATATAAAATGCAAGGATTATATTAACTGTTCTGATTGCTCGCTCTCAGGTTAGAATCCCTCCAGGAAGTTTACCGTTCACACCAGCGAGAGCACGAGAAGATCCAGAGTTCCACTGAGAGCTCGATGAACACGATTGAACAATTGGAAGACGCTTCAGATACCAATCGCCGCTACAAGTTTTATCGAGAAATGGGAACCTATGTTCAAAACCTGACCAACTGCCTCAGTGAAAAGGTACAGGGATGGATGAATAATCTTCATGATCATTATTGTCTCTGGGCAATTTATTAAGGCCTTTAAATTCATACATGTTCACATATAAAATACACAGGCACTAAGGCATTACACTTTACAATAAATCCTGTGAAGTGCTTTGGGATGTCATCTCGATATAATAGGCTCTACATAAATGTAAAATGTAAAAAAATCAAATTGTATAATCCTCTTCATACATTAAGAAACCTGGTGTTTACCAGCTGACTTGTTGCAGTTTTGATTTCTACTTTGCAAACAATAATGACCCTTGCATTTAATATAGTGCCTCATCACATCATTGAGGAGTCTCAAAGCACTTCACAGAATACATTGTAAATCTATAGTTTTGTGAGTTCTCGTTTCACTCCACAGCACAGTGCACTAATGCATTTGCTGCTCAGAACACAAGGGGAAGGAATAAAAAATGGGCATCATATGTGTTCTTGTCTTAAAGAGAAGTTAAGTGAAACATATAAGATGAGTTATACTCTACTTATGAAAGCACAAAATAATTCCTGGTCACCTTTTTGTTTGACTGTGCCTTTAGTGAAATGGTTTTGGGTTCAAGTAACAATTCAGGTCTTGTATTCAGAATCTCGTTTCATATGCCAGTGCAGTAGTGGGAATCACTGCATTGTCTGTATTTCGAATGAGATTCCTTCTATTCCTTGCTGATTGTTCATCATTGCCTTTGTTAACCTCTTCAAGCTACTACTTTCAGTCGACAGACAGATGGCTTCTGGATTTAACATCTCATCCAAAAGGCTACATCTCCAACAATGCAGCTTCACCCCCAATATTGTATTGGAGTTTGGGGCTATTGGGGCTTGAGCTCACAACCTTCTGACTCAGTGGTGAGCGATGCCTACTGAGCCTACCTGACAATGTCACTCGGCACTGGAGGATTGGTGTGAGCAGCGAGTTGAAGTGCATCTATAACTCAGTATCCTCTTTTTAGATACTTCTCATTAATGAGCTGGAATCTGCAATGCATCACTTACTGCGGCAGCAGGCAACAAGACTTTTGCAACGTAGACAGGAAGATGTCCAAGATGAATCGACCAGTATTCAGCAGCTCTCAAGTTAGTGCAACTCCTGTGGAACTAATCAATAGCTCTGTGGTGAAGTGGATATTTTAACTGGATGAAATCTGCTAATAATAATCCCTCCAAAACAAAAAACAATAATAAATTGGTCATTTTCAATCTACGACTGTTTGTGGGACATTGCTGTGCGCAATTGGCTGCCGCGTTCGCCCACAAATATACAGTCAATTCACTTTACAGTGTGTTCTGTGAAGCGCTTTGGGACGTCCTCCCGACGTGAAAAGCGCTATATCAAATGCAAGGATTATTATTATTATTATTAATAGTTAATGAGTATGATCAGGTTTTCCTTTCCTGCTTGGGAAATCTTGACAGCCTTTTTCACTGGTCTTTTTGTCAGCTGGAACAGTTAAAGCTATATTAAAGGCACTTCTCTTGAGGTTGATGTAGCTGAAAAATCTCAGCTAATCATGTAATCTCAGCCAATTTATTGTGCGTGACAGCTACCCAGGTTTGGCATAAACCAATGTACAATATCTTTCTAACAGGAAAACGAGCAGGACGAGGCTGTTCAGCCCATTGAGCCTGTTCCAACAGTTTGCTAGATCTTGACAGATCTTTTAATCCTATCCCTGCTCTTTTGCCATACTAAGAGCCTCTACTGCTCAAGTACTTACCTATTAAACATCTCTGTTGATTCCTCCTCTACAACTTCTGGGGCCGAGCATTTTAACCCTCTGTGAAGAAATGCTTCTTGTAAAATATGAAAATATGCAGCCAGTTGCTTCCTGTCATATTTCCATAACACCAGAAATCAGAGCTGTGCAGGTTAATATTTCAATCCTGTGTCAGCGTATTGCCGTGCTTCCGATAGCGGTATGAGTTATCCAGCTAAGGGATAGCAGTGTGAGTTATCTTTGTTGAATTATAAACCAGAAATATCAAATGCTAAACTATTGAAGACTACTTGAGTTGCCCTTGTGCTGTGTGTGGTTGCTAAGATTCTTGCTCATTTTAAAATACAATAGTTGCATTGTAACATTTTGTTCCTGCAGACAAAGCTAATGGCAATACTCAAAGCCACGCAGACTGTATTGAGGAAAAACAGTGTCGCATTGAAAGACGAATGACACAAAGGTAAATTAAAACTCTCAATAGATTTCCAACAACAACTTGCATTTATGTAGTGCCTCTCACGCAGGATAGTGTCCCAAAGTGCTTAAATTTCCAATTTTGACTAGAATTTGTATTGCCTACCTCAATCAATTATATCCTTGACTGGCATGATGCATTTTTTAAAAGAATTGTCTGTCAATTTGAAACTGGTCCAAACTCTAGTGAGAAGTCCTCGGTGCTACATACTAATTCAGGCTGTTTCCAATTCAAGCTCCTACCAAGATGTAAGATTGTTTTGGCTGCATCTTAAAGCACCCAACAAACAGAAGGTAAAATGCTTCTTACTATTTGGAGGGACCTTCTAATTACATGTACCAAAAATCACTTTTTATTAATTATTCAGCTTTGTGTTAAGGTTGCGCCTTGGGAAGTCCTCCTGACGTGAAAGACGCTATACAAATGTTATTTGTTGTTGTTGTTGTGTATGGTGTGTGTGTGTGTGTGTCTGAGAGAGAAAAAAAACTTGTGATGGTCATGTTTAGTAAACGTGTAGTATAATTGGCCCCTGCTTCATAAATTTGCAAGTATTCTTTTTCCATTGAGAGATTACACCATTGTGCCCAGTAGTTATGCAAGATAAATAATAATAATAATCTTTGCATTTGACATAGCTCCTTATCACGTCTTCGAGATGTCTCAAAGTGCTTCACAGAATTGATTGTATATTTTTTGTGGGCGAAACGCAGCAGCCAGTTGCGCATAGCAGTATCCCACAAACAGTTGTGGATTGAGTGGACACATTATTATTATTTTTTTGAAGGGCTTATTACCTCCGGAAAAGCGATCCACCAATTGACTAACACAAGGTTACTACTTACTGCTAGTTAAACAGAGGCCGGTGGAGTAAGGAAACTTGCCCAATGTTTCGCCCTGCCCGGGAATCAAACCCAGGTTCTTTTGCTTGCGAGGCGAGTGCTCTAACCACTAAGCTACAGGACTCCACCAAATATTAACAAAACACAAAATACTGCAGATGCTGGAATCTGAAACAAAAACAGAGAGGGCTGGGAAAATTCAGCAGGTCAGGCAGCATCTATGGAGAAAGGAAAGTGAGTCAACGTTTGGGTCCACGACCCTTCGTCAGATCCTTCGTCCACGACTCTTCGGCAGTTCTGAAACGTTGACTTGCTTTCCTTTCTCCATAGATGCTGCCTGACCTGCTGATTTTTCCCAGCTCTCTCTGTTTTTGTTCCACCAAATATTACTTTTTTTCTACAAATTGGGTTATATTAAACATATAACGCTTCTGTTTTTAACTGTACTTTTCCAATGCAGGGCTCAACGACAACAGAGAAGAAAAGTGACGGGAAAGGAAGCAGATCATCGTGACGGCATGTCCAGTGACGATGAAGTGCCTCCAGATGATTTAATTGATTTTAATGAAAAAAAAGGTGAGTTTGAATTTCTCTTTCTCTGCCTCTCCCGATCTATTCCAAAAGCCATTCATTTGCACCCTTATTGGTGGTTTCAATTTCACAAAACCCTTGTAAATTATTATGTAGTAGTATCTATAACTTGCCAATATGTCAGGTGCTTCATATATGCTTTGTCATACATGTTTATAAATGTTTCTTCTACCTAACATTCTATTTTTGGAAGTGCTTTTAGGTTTATTGTTAATTACACTGTAATGTTCTGAATAATTAAGCTCAATTTTTGCAATATATTTTGCAATATATTCACATGTGATCAAAAGCTGATAGAGGGGCTGAAAAAATGCAATCCTTATAGTTGTGTTCTTGCAATATATTTTGCAATATATTCACGTGATCAAAAATTGATAGAAGGGCTGAAAATTGTAATTATAATTGTGTTCCTGCCAATGTCATTATAGGACTGAGGAGTTGTGATTTACTCCCTCGAGCTTGTACTTTACATTTGTGACTCCAGCATTTTGATTTTAAGGTGATGTCGATTCTGAACACTAATCTTTTATAGCACTTACACAGCTTGTTGGCTTCTGGTAGTGTTTTGGGGGGAAATGAGGGGAAATGAACAGATGTTGCTGGTTGTACTCATGGATGGTACTATAATGAGCTGTCATTTCTGAGAATTGTGCTGTATGATATTCTTATATAATTTCTATGCTTCTGTTGGAAACTTGCTGACAATCTGGAAACTTACTGACTAACTTCTGTAGTTTTTTTTCATTGTCAAGTATATCTCCAATTTGTCTCCTGAAGGGCTTTTGTTGATTTATCTCCTGGGTATATTTACATGGGTCCCTTCAGCATCTACCCAAATGGCTGTTATTCATGTTCGAGTATTTCAAGTCCCTAATCCAATCCTTTTCACCAATGGGGAGTTGGTAGATGTTCTCATTGCAAAATCAAGTGAATCTGATCAGCCTATCCGCAGAGCATGAACAATTGTGTTTTATGGGTGAAGCTGATGCTTGCAAGGGTCGACACACTGATGTTTTAAACTCATACCTTTTAGAATTGGCAGGTTCAGCCGGGTGTATGACACATGCAGAAGGAAACCTGTTTTAAGTGTATCCAAATCAAGCTGAGATTTCCATGTATTAGCTGAGTTGGATGACTCCCTGCCCCTAGTGACTGATCTGCCCTTCCAGGTCCTGGCAATGAGCCAAGCTGGCTGTGCTATCATCAGCAGTTCCCTGGAATACTGCAGACCCATCTGGCTCAGGAACCAGACTACAGATGGCCGGCTCGATTCTGACATTCCATTGCCAGGCATGTCACCTTGGAGCCAGTTCAGCTTCAAGGAGACCCCTCAATATGGAGCTCTTCAAGAAAAAAAAGAAGGGAAAAAAAATGTCACTTTATTTAGACTTTTGGATCTAGATCTGTAAACCTGGTTAATCCAGTTGCATTTTGATAATTTGCTAGGATGAAACAGTTTAATGATCCGATGGGATGAAATGTTTTATATTAATTGGTAGTCATTTTGTTCTAATTAGTTTTGTTTTCTCAAATTAGCAACGTATGTTATTCTTGCTTGGACAAACTATTCAATATTTAAGCATGTTGCTTAACACAGATCAAATATTGACGGAATCCAAGACGATCTTTGAAGACGTACATGAAGATTACTGCAGCGCTGACCGAATCTTAGCAAAATTTGGGTTCTGGAGGCACAACTTTCCCGCTTCGTATTATGATGCTTATATTGGCCTTTCGCTTCCAAAAATTCTGAATCCTTTAATCAGGGCACAACTGATTGCCTGGAACCCACTTGAAGTAAGTTGTGACATTTTCCCACTTATAGCTGCAGTACAGTCTGGGAAATCTTCATTGAAATCTTTCTGTGCAAACTTATCACCGAAATTAATTGTTCTATACATGTGTAAACGTATGTGACTTGTGTTGGTGGGCAGTTTATGGAGAATTTTACTAATGGATTGAAAATACATTAGCTGAGTGATGCTTCTTAGCCTTGTGTGGTGTTGCTAAGCAATGTGCAAGTTTCATGAAAATTGTCGAGTCTGTTTTAATTTTTTATTCATTTGGAATACTGAACCACAGAATGTATTGAAATGCTAATTGCAGCAGAATTTGGTTGGTTGTTTTTTCTCCACCTTTGTGGTGCCAGCATTCAGAATGTAATTTCAAAAGTTAGACTGAAAATCAACATTTCCTTTACCATCTGTGCTCTCCACAAGGGAGGAAGGGAAATCCATTTCAAGATCATCCTCAGACTGCTTCAGAGCTGTGAAGTCTTACTCCTTTGACCTGTGGGTGATATGTGGCCAGGAGTCCTGTAGCTCAGTGGTTAGAGCACTCGTCTCGCAAGTGAGAGACCTAGATTAAATTCCTGGCAGAGCGAAACCTTGGGCAAGTTTCCTTACTCCACACGTCTGATAAGAATCCCTCAAGAAGAAAAAACCAATAATAATTTGGTCACTCAATCCACGGCTGTGGGACACTGCTGTGTGCAATTCGTTGATGCGTTTCGCCCACAAAATATACAGTCAATTCACTTTACAGTATATTCTGTGAAGTGCTTTGAGACGTCTAGAAGACGTGAAAAGTGCTATATATTTGTGGAGTCCTGTAGCTCAGTGGTTAGAGCACTCGCTTTGCAAGTGAGAGACCTGAGTTCAATTCCAGGCAGGGCGAAACCTTGGGCAAGTTTCCTTACTCCACACGCCTAATAATAATCCTTCCAAAACCCAAAACAATAATAAATTGGTCATTTTCAATCTACGACTGTTTGTGGGACATTGCTGTGCGCAATTGGCTGCCGCGTTCGCCCACAAATATACAGTCAATTCACTTTACAGTGTGTTCTGTGAAGCGCTTTGGGACGTCCTCCCGACGTGAAAAGTGCTATATCAAATGCAAGGATTATTATTATTATATGAAGTGCAAGGATTATTATTATTACAGATTATCGTTGAAAGGGAGAAAGCAATTCATTTAAAAATAGTTGTATGTTCACCCAAGACTAGAGGAGAGGCAGTGCTGCGACCAGTATTTCTTTTATAATGAACATGATTACACCACAACCTAAATTATTACAAATATTGTGAATGCCTCCAGTGAGATCTGTTATCAGTACTAACATTAATAAATGTTGGGACGTCCTTCCGACGTGAAAGGTGCTTTACAGCTTTAATTTTGTATTGTTTTGAAACATACAGTTTCTTTGTATGTGTAATGACACAGTAAGAACATGTTTTATCTGAGAGGGGTGGGGGGGGGGGTGAGTGGAACTGAAACCAATGTGCTTCTTATATCCACCCAATATTTAGGCTGGTTGCTCGGACTTAGTGGGCATGCCCTGGGTTTCTGCCGTGGAGCAGTTCTGCCACGATGAAGCTGAAGAGTACCAGAGGAAGGAAAACTCTGATATGAAACTGCTTTCCACAGTAATAGAGAAAACAATTGTACCAAAAATTGAAGGTAATGGTTTAGAAATATATGACTGAGTTATACTGCATAGCAATGTACAAGACTTTTTTTAGTTTAATGACCTTTGCAAATCAGTTGTAGAAAATCACTTCTTAAATAAGTTTACAGCTCTTAATGGAAACCGGAGTATAAACACCGACATGGTTACACCTTTTATAATGTAGCAATCAATGATTGTTCAGTAAAAACTGATTCCAGCCGTTCTAAATTTGCAAAATGTTTCTTAAAAAACGTTTATGTGTTTTTCTAGGCTTTATAATACATGTATGGGACCCTTTGTCATCCTCGCAAACACAGAATTTTGTGCAACTCTGTGCTGAATTAAAAGAGGAATTTGCTGTTTTTAAAGACGAAAGTAAAGCCACACAGGTACACGAATCTCGACTATAGGGCCTTTTTCAGAATATTCACAAGAGCGAGCGCAGGAATGCCTAAATAGTCAATTAAGGTCTGAAACAAAAATAAGCAGATGATGGATTGTCTCAAGTTCCTCAATTGATTCCTTTGCCGAATACCTATCTTAATTCCTTATTTGAATTTGATAACACAATCTGTCTGCCAATACTATTTTGCCTTGTTCACAGGTCTTTCTCCTTTGCCAACATTGTTCAAATACTTGTAGGACAGATCCCTCATAGGCTTCACTCGTAAACTACAGTATGACTCTTGTCACACAGACCATCAAGTTATTTTTCTCCTGCCCATAAATCACCTTGGCTGTTCCCACCACCATGGAAAAGTGACTTTGTTTTGATCTAAAGTGTTTGAGAATTTGTGCCACAACTTGTCATGTTTAAGTGCGTTGGTGCGGAAGAGGGAGATTTCCTCTGTATCTAATCTGGCCTTGGAGTATTTGATGCTGGTTTCCTGAAATTGGGGTTCCAGTTTCCAGCATTAACAGGCCTCAACTTAATGAACACAACAAATTTATTTTATAAAATTGATAAATAATTGTCATGGTCATGCTTCTGTACCTGTATGTATTGAAAAATTTGCTAATGTAAAATGTTTGCAATTATAGATGTTGTCAAAATCAATTATTATGAGAATAAGGATATCTGTGGAAGAAGATGTCTTCATTCCTCTGTATTCAAAAAGGTAGGTTAAGGATTTAAATGGATGATTACTTCACGTTCCCCACTCGACCCGCCCTATCTTTGGAGGGAGAGCATTCTGCCCTTGCTTTCCTGAATTCCATCCCGGAATCACTTTGTATTCCTCTTCTCTCCCCACCTTTAAATCCTTCCCTCAGTGCCTTTAAAACCTTTTTTCAACTGCGCTTTTGGTCACCTTCCCCACCCACCTCCCACCGACCTTCCTTGGTTTGCCTCTATCTACAGTTCAGGAGTTGCAGTGGGCTTGGTGAAGTAACATAAAAGGTCCCACATAAATGGAAATGTTCTATTATTTTCTTCCTCCACCACCTGTATGGATGTATGGAAATGGGTTGCTTGCCTACCACCTTGTAGCAGTTACTATCCTATCTTGAAACTGAATGGAAATGTGATTGCTCATGAGATAGGATTTGATGCCTTGATAATGTCAAGAGTGAATTATATGGATAGCACACCCTGAACTTGAGTTCATGTGTTTACAATTCGAACATTAAATAGAAATGATGTATTGCATTAGTAATGCAGGGGATGTTATGGATCCAGTATATTTCAACTAGTTTGTTTTATTTTTCCCAGTGTGCTGGAGGATCGAACGTCTGCCCATTCCGTGTTTCAGGAAAGACAATTTTGGTCAGCTGTGAAGGTGAGATGGTATTTGAGACTCCCATATTTGGAGTTTTATCTGCTTCCCTGGGAGGGGAGGGTTGGATTGTTAAAATTGAATGGACTTGCCTGATTTTAAATTTAGATGGAAAATATTAACTTTTTTTATGTCTTTGGGTTTTTTTTGTGCTAGGTTTAGACCTTTGTTTCTTTAATCTCCCTCACTCCTCCCTTCTTGCTCTCACTTAGCCTCACTATGCCTTTGTTTCATGCCCTTTTCTTTCCAAGACCTTACATCTCTTATTGCTGCCAGGGATTAAGTTGATTTGATGAATGACGCTTTCCAGAATTTCACAATCTGTCAATGAGTCAAACGTTGCCTCCTTGTGTACTTAGTTTATGGCTTTTGTTTATTTTAACTAATTGTTTTGTGGATCTGGTCTTCATTGTTCTCAACAATCTTATAATAAAATATATAATCCTTGCATTTGATATAGCGCTTTTCACATCTTCTAGAATATACTATGAAATGAATTGACTGTATATTTGTGGGCAAAATGTGGCAACCAATTGCGCACATCTTTGTCCCTCAAACAGTCATGGATTGTGTGACCAATTTTATTTTTTTTGTTTTTTTCTTGCGGGATTATTATCAGGCGTGTGGAGTAAGGAAACTTGCCCAAGGTTTCGCCCTGCTGGGAATCGAACCCAGGTCTCTTGCTTGCGAGGCGAGTGCTCTAACCACTGAGCTACAGGACTCCATCTTATACACTGACTAGTATCTCCAGCACAGTTGCTTCAGTTCTGTTGCACCCAAAGTGTTCACGAGCTGACTGATGTGTCCCAGTATTTCCTGTTTATTTTCAAAATGGTGAAGCAAGTTTAAATTGCAATCCATGGATGGAATGAGGATTAATGAATGGGTTTACAGTTCCTGATCTTAGTGAGTGTACTTCCTAGTCTCTGGATACCTGTTGATGGTGGCAAAAGTCTAGGAGAGGGTAGGTCCCCTCGTCTCAACAGAGATTGATCATTCCTCCATCGAAGATTGAGTGGCCTGAAAGACTGAAGGAGAAATCTTCTCTTTTAAAATGTAAAATATTTCAGAGGGGGAAAGAAGGTATCAGAGAAATGAAGAAGTGAGGAGATAAAAATGAATAAACAACAACTTGCATTCATTTAGCACCCTTTGCACAGGTTGCATGATGAAATATTCAAAAGGAAAGTTGCCATTAAAAGTACAATAACCTCAAGAGATGCAGTGAGATACCTGTATGATATTTCATCATCCCTGTACCTCACTTGTTCACTTCTCTGATGCCCTTTATTTTTTTTCTTTGAACAATTACAGAAATTAACTTTTGTGTGAATGAGCACCTCACTGTCCGGTACCTAAAAATAATTGTACCCTTATTATTCATAACTTTACATGATCTATTTACCGTACAGTAGTATCTTATCTTTTTTTCAAAAAAAAAGTTATGGGGGCTGGGTGGGAGAGAGGCACTTTCTAAGTCTTGTCCTGTTTGTTTATAGCTACTGGGTAACATCTTCCAGTGGGATGGCCTCTTACCAGAGCAGGTTCTACAAGAAGTGGGTTTAGACAAGCTCCTCAATCGCTATATTTTACTGGCTCTACAAATGTCTTTGCCTGGTCCAGACAATATAGAAAAATGTAAAAAGGTAAGTTTTATTATTTGATAGCTGATGTATGAACAACTGTGTTGAAATTTCTACTTGGTGTGCAGTCAAATGAACGCTGAATGATGGTTGGGCATCATGCATCTGCAATAAATTCCTGTATATAAAAAAAATTCTGTGAATATTTTAAGAAGGCTTGCCAAATCATATTTGTCTCTAACTGATACTGATGGACGAAGATAAATATAATAATAATAATCCTTGCATTTGATATAGCGCTTTTCACTTCTTCTCGACATCTCAAAGCGCGTCACCAAATAGACTGTAAAGTGAATTGACTGTATATTTGTGGGCGAAATAACTTATCTCTCAGTGACAAGCACTGACTCGCAGTAAAACCTGTCGTTTTTTTACTCACTCTCCCAAGTAACAGAACTGGTAGGTGTCTCATTCAGATATGCTAAAATTAGGGAGTGTTTGTGTCACTGCTTGATTTTCACTTTGAAAGGAGGGATTAGATACAGCAACGGCTTGCACTTATATAGTGCCCTTCATACAGGTAGCATTTTGGAGTACTTAACAGCAGGTTCTTGATGCCAAGGTGGAAAGTGGAGACGTGGGGGACGGGGACAAGTGACCGACGGCACAGTCAAAGAGAAAATTCTTCAGGTGTTATTTGAGAACAGGCAAAGGGGGGGCGGGGGTGCAAAATGGAGTGATTGATGCAAGGGCTTTCAGAGATTCAGGGCATAATGGCTGAAAGAGTGATGGTAGTTGAGCTTAGGGCATGAGGGATGTGCAGCAGACCTGTAGCACCTGAACAAGGGCGGTGGTTAGAGAAGGGGGTTTGCGCAGATCAGAGAGGTAGGAAGGTGTCAGGGTGTGAAGAGATTTGAAAGTGAGAATGAGGATCTTGAAATCGATCTATTCTGCATTAGGAAGCCAATAGAGTCAAGCAAGAGTGTGTAACAGAGGACACGCGAGTATTGAATCATTTGGACTTTGTTCACAGTGGAGCTGGGGAGACCGGCAAGCAGTGCTTGGATAAATCAAGAAGGGACGTGACGAAGGCATGAATGAGAATTTCAGCAGCGTTTGAAGCAAGATAGGGGGAAGACGGGCAGTGTGGTGGAGATGGAGGAAGACAGTCCTGGTCTGGGACAGGTTTGGGATAGGAGGATAACGGGATCAGATGCCAAGGTTGTGTACAGGTTCAGTGAGTCTGAGGGATAGGCTGTAAAGGTAAGGAGTTCAGAACCACATGTGAGAAGACGTTGACGAGAACCAAGGAGGATGGCTTCCGTCTTGTCCATGTTCAGCTGCAGAAAGTTGACGCTCATCCAGGCTTAGTTGTCAGACAAACAGGGAGTCAGAATATCGGTAGGACTTGGGTCGTGACTAGAGGAGGAAAATAGATTTGGGTAACATCAATTTACATGTGGAAGTTGACCCCATGTCTGCAGATGACGGAATCAAGAGGGAGTATGTTAATGAGAAAAAGGAGGCGTGGGTAATAGAGCCTTGGGGTACACCACAGGTGACCTTATGAGGAGGGGGAGGTAACTGCTTCTATCATTGGGATACACAAGATAGTCTTTGAAATTGTACAAAATAACTTTACAAAAATTATTCTTTACACTTAATTTTGAATTTGCTGACATAAGGGAACTAATATGAAAGCTAATGCCCTCTTCACTTCTCTTGCCTGTAGGTAATAAATTGTTTTCCTCCACATTGGTTTGAAGAACTAAAAACCCAGCAAACCCTTCCCCAATTGGAAAGCTTGTGCAGATATTTGTTACAGTCTATTCGTGCTGCGTATAAAAATGGGGGTCAAAGTGAAGAGAGCAGCAGCAACAGGTAACCACTCCTTACTGGGAACTGAAACCCAACAGTTGTCATTTTATGTTGCATTACTTGCTTTTTGTCTCTACTTAATTGCTCTGTTGGGATCTGTGTACTAGTTTCCATTTAGACACAGTTCCTGGAGATGCAGGGCATCCTTCTAAGCTATAAACTATCTTTCTGCAAACTACATTCCAGGGGTAAAGACTGATTGTTTGAGTTGATTGTTTTTACGAGAATGAGCCCATGGATCTATGAATACAGGGTGCCAGAATTCAAAAGATTGCACTTTTGATGCCACACCACCAACAGAACTCAAAAGCACAACAGTGTTCAGGCGCATAATGAGTATAACGTCAGTACAGCATAGCAAATCCAGTCCCGTGGTTCCCAATTGTGTATGTACTTACATTTTCAGTGGAGTATTATCCTCCGGGAGAGGGGAAGCAGTGTCCCATTAGAGCTGAGCTGCTTCCAAGGTGATATGCCTGGCAATGGAATATTGGAATCAAGTCAACCCTCCAATGTAATCTTGCTAGTTCAGGGCATTGCTGGTAACAGACAAGCCAGCCTGGTTTATCGGCAGACCTTGGTGCGGCAGACCAGTAACTGGGAGGAAAGAATTATTCCACTCTGTTCCTTTTTATCCCTACAAGTCCTGGAATCCTGTAGCTGAGTGGTTAGAGCACTTGCCTTGCAAGCGAGAGACCTGGGTTCAATTCCTGGTAGGCGAAACCTTGGGCAAGTTTCCTTACTCCACACGCCTAATAATAATCCCTCAAGAAAAAAAAAAAAATTGGTCACTTCAATCCACGACTGTTTGTGGGATATTGCTGTGCGCAATTGGCTGCTGCATTTCGCCCACAAATATACAGTCAGTTCACATTATAGTATATTCTGTGAAGTGCTTTGAGACGTCTAGAAGACGTGAAAAATGCTATATCAAATGCAAGGATTATTATTACAAGATCAAACCTTCATTGGCCCTACGGTGGCCCTATCTGACAAACATCAGGAAGCTTGCCCGGTAGTGCTCGATTGCAAACGTGTGTTTTTAGCTGTTTAACCTCCAGCCGAAACCCAACGCAGACTCTGTAGTCCCCAAGGCTTGGTTCTTGCAAACCTGCACCTAATACTCCCTGGAAATAGGTAAACGGGATGTGTCCAAATCATCGTATTGTGATGGACTCCACCAGAATTGTCAATATGTGCAAATGGCCATGAGGGAAGGAATTTAGCTATTTGGTGAGGAAGTCAGTTGAGTATGAGAAAGTCATGTAAGATTTTACTTTTTAAATTCATTGGAGTAGAGAGTGTAAGTCACCATTTACGTTTAATAAAAACAGGATTCCTAAAATTTGTCAAAATGTAAAGGAATGCTTAATCGGCTGTGTAGTGTGATTGGAGGGTGGGGTGGTAGAGGAGCTTTTTCATTCTCTTGAAACGTGCTTCTAATTCTGCACATGAAAATAACTTAAATGAAGTGAGAACTTAATTATACATTAAAACATTTAAATTCGATTTTTCTTTTCATGTTTGCATAATTGGAAGACCACCTATTTATCTAAATTATTAATCAAAAAGGCTGCATCTTTCAGAATGTTATTTGTGTAACATTTTCATTCTATTGTCTTAGTTTCTATGCTTAATTTATATTTGTGAAGTACATTGGGATATTATCATTTTGTTATTTGAACAATGATGGTTCCTGGATTGTCAGATAAATGGTGCCAAGTTGAGTTGTTCATGGTTCATCTGTTAAAAATTGAATACTTTTTTTATTTTTGCTGCTCCATTTTCTTAAGGTCCAGGGGCCAAAGAAAAGCAATTCTAATTAAACTCTGTGTGTACACATTTGCACAGCTAGTTTCCACGATGCTGTTGCTGCTGTAGTGTAAACGGAGCAAGTTTCCCTGCAGCATTTTGTTAATGTATTCTCTCCTGAGGTTTGCTTTTGTCAACTGGGCAAGTATACATTAGATCCCAACAGAACAAAAATGCAATATCTCAAACAACCAACAATATCTTGTTCCTAATTGATCCTTCCTGCCTGGCCAGTGTTTGCAGACACGTGTAAGGTTTTCGTATTTGTAATTACTTTCAGTATTTGAATTTTGGCAAATTGTACACCATTTTAAAAAAACGCATAACTGCATATATTTAATGCCAATGTATACAGGCACTTTCATCTTGCTGAAAGTTAGTTGTTTTATCGGTCACCTAGTAGTCCTTCTAAGCTGTACCCTGCATTCTTCTAATCTTTAATGTATTTTTTTCAGAAAAGCAATAGAAGAAATGGTTAAGATGTTAGCCCAAATCAGTGCTGTGGATCACACCAAGAGAATTATTGATGAATGCAAACTGGAAGATTTGAAAAGCATTCTCGAGAGAAACTGATCTGCCTGAAAACTCCTGGTTGAATGTGCTTCAAAGATAGTGCATAAAGAATGCAATCTCTAATGCTTGACCTCGAGTCACATAAGTCTGCAACAATGCAAAGGTTGTACAACTTGGCTATTTCCCACAGCAATTCATAATGCCCAAAGTCCTTTGTTTTTATTGAAATGCAGTCTAGCTGATTTAACACCACAAAACAAGTTGGAACTTAATGCAGCTGTTGAGCCATTAGTTCTGATCTTCAATTAGTAGGTTTCCAAATACAATTCTTAAAAATATACTGTATTGAGTTGCAGAAATTAAATTTGAAAGTAGAATATAAATGACTATTTGTGATAGATTTTCCGTATTCTTTTACAGTTGGATTCAGTAGACTAAACTTATGTTGCAAATGACCTGGGCATGAGGTTAAATTGCAAGCCTAAATTCCCAGCCTTATTTGGAATTGTACTCCCTTTTTATTGGTGTAATAAATGCTGTTGATTGATGTATATAGTGAACAAGCAGTTGGCTGTTTTTTATACACTTAAGCTGTCAAATTGCTTAAGGGAGAATAATATTGCAAGTAACACTGCCTTCCCCCCAAAAAATAACAATCTGGAAGAAGTTATTCAACGTCTTTCTGCTCGAAGGAGAAATCCTGTTTTTCAGTCTCAACCTACCTGTTGATTCACCGAACTAACTGAGATTGATGTTCTTCCAAGTACTGGATGCTAATCCTAGTGCTTGAACACAAGTCAGGTTTAAGTGCCTGTAAAACCCAAACAGGATTCTTAAAATTATTTGTAAACTGATTTTTTTAGTTCACCTAATGTTTGTGGATTGTCTGCTGTTGAAGCAAATCTTCTGTACACAATTTATTTTTCTATCATAATTTGTATGTTTTGTAAGAATATTGCTGTACAATAAATTGAACTTTTACAGTATTCTTAAAAAAAAATTCTTACAGAAGTTTCAATGTCAGGAGGATGAATCAAAGTGGTTCAGGATTCACTGAAGTATGGTGACTATTTTGTAGGTGAATGCAACAGCCAATTTATGCATAGCAATACAATACTAGTTGAAAAAAAATGCTTAATCAACTACCAAGAAATGTCTATCCCGAATAAACCATCATAGTGGTGCAGATTTGATTTAATAATAATACTTGCATTGATATAGCTCCTTATCGTGTCTTCGAAACATCTCAAAGCACTTCACAGAATATACTGTAAAGTGAATTAACTGTAGATTGTGGGCTAGGACACTGGCAAAAAAATACTTCTTTTCAAATGGTCCCATAGGATTTTTAACATCCAACAACAAATTATATTTGTATAGCGCCTTTCATGTCAGGACGACGTCCCAAGGTGCAAGACAGTTAGGGGTTTGGACATGAATACACATATAGAACCTTGGCTTAACCTCTCATCCAAAGGACAGCACCTCTGAAAATCCAGCAGCCCCCAGCACTGCACTGGGATGTTAGCCCAGATCATGAGCTCAGAATACTGATGTGAGGCTTGAATCCATATCCTTCTGACTTGGGAGTGTACGCTACCAACTGAGCTAACACCTGATAATTTTTCAATCTTCAGAATGATGCTTTAATGTAATTTCAACTTGGTATATATATTCAAATTGTTTTATTTGCAAGAATGCAAGAATCTTGTAATAATACAGTACAAGGTTTGCACTTCTCATTAGAAAGAAATGAGTAGTCGGACAACCTGAATTATACAAGCATGTGAATCATTTTGCCTGATTTACAAGTAATTCTTCCACACAAGTAGAGCACTATAAACCAACTTATCTACATTTATTACCCTCCAGTTAAACTCCATAAGCAAAGGACACTTACTGCTCCATGATCTTTACATTTTGTGGGATAAAGGGCTATAAAGCACTTTACATTATAATCAGTCTCTGGTGCTAGTAATGATAAGACGGGAATGTCAATTCTCTTAGCAGACCTTAGAGGTTCCTTATTTATTCATTTCTCTTTGCAGTTCCAACCAGATATTTTCCTCAATCTTGGATGTATCATATTCCTTCATCATATCATATTCAAGCCAGGGCTTTTCGTGCTTTTTGGCTGATTCTATGTGTCTTTCTGTAAGATAGAGTTCCAAACGGATACCCTGAACTTTATACTTTGGACGTTCCCATCGTTTTGACCATGGTTTAGGTTTCATTTTTACCTTCAGCTGTCAGAGAAAATAAAATAAAAAGCAGTTAGAAAAAGCAGCAAGATTTGGACATTGTATACTCACCACGTGAAGTTGCTGTATTAAAGATCTCCAGTTACAAACCCCCTCAATGCTTAAAAACAAGGAAATAAGATAAATTCCTGGAAGCTTCAATTATTTGTGATTCATGATTTGTTTGACATGAAGGTTGAGTCATTGGATGATGAGATATGACAGGAATCTTTTGGGAAGTTGAATGGATGTGATGAACAAACCAATGGTCTACCCTTATCTGAAACTACAGCATTCTGATAAACTGTTATGTTCCCTAAATTACAGTAATATAACATCACGTGATCAAACAGTGAATTCACAATCGGACCCATTGTAGGTAAAACTGCTGACAAGCCGGCACTGCCACCAGCAGCAATGTAAGAGTATTACAATGTTTGAATTGAGGGGAAACAAACTCTACAGGGCATAGTTTTTGTTCAAAATACTTAATAGAAAACATAAAATCATTATTTCTCAGAAGCTTGCTTAAAATGAGGAATCTGCTGGAATTCTGCGATATCTGGAAATCATATCCTGCTGTACTAGTTTGATTCCAGTTACACAGAGTTTGGCAGAATGGATGTACTGAACCAGCCGAAGCCAATCAAATAACAAATTTGACAACATAAGAGTAGAAATTCACATTAAATCTATTCACATTCACTTTCATGCTCTGAATCCCTTACCACCAATTGCATTCAAGCATGCCTTCCTAAGTTGTTTTATCATATCACATTTTACAGAAAGATTTTCAAATAGAATACACTGGAAACTTTTATGTCCCATTTAACTTTGTGAATTCAGACAAGTCTACAGTGTGATTCCTCAGCTATATTTTTGGTCAGCTGGAAGTCTCGCTATGCAACTGAAAGTTCCACATATCGAACCATAGAAACTTACAGCACAGAAGGCAGCCATTCAGTTCATCATAGCTATGCTGGCTCTTCTAAAAGCAATCATTCAGTCCCATTTACCTGTCCTTTCCCCATACCCCTGTAGCTTACTCCTTTTTTTGGTGCTTATCTAGTCACCTAGACATGCTAAATGGCCTTCTTCCATGCTGTACATTTCTATGTTTTTCTATTGATTAAAAAGTGATTCCTTACTGTATTGATTGGGACCTCATCACCAATCGGAAGAGGAACTGCCTTCATGTCGAAGTCAAAAGTGCTGTATTCTGGCAGAGCATCACGCAAATACATTAAGTTATCATCCAGCCTCTTTTCCAGCTTCAGCACCTCAAACTGCTGTATTCGAGGATTATATAGTTCAAAGCAGATCTCAACACCTATAAGGAAACACAACTGGTACAATGAACTTGTCTTTTTTTCCTTCAATTATTTAAGATAGATGCTCAAATTCTAACTAATCCCATGTCACGTTTAAACACCTTTCACAATTCAAGTCAAGTTATTGTAGCTGAAAACAGACTACAGCTAAGATGAAAGGGAAAAATCATGCATGTCCTCAGCACAATTGTAAATTCAAAATGCATTTTACTCTGTAATCCTGGCTCAGTTGGTAGAACTCATTTCCGAGTCAGAAAATTCTAGGTTCATGCCCCAAAATGGGACTTTAAGCTCTATGTCTAGGCTGACACTCCAATGCAAGTTTACAGGAATGCTGCATTGTTGGAGGTGCCATCTTTTGGATGAGATGTTTTACTAAGGTTCTGTCTGCCTATTCAAGTGGACATTAAAGCTATCAAGATAAGACAGCATCAGCTTCGCTCAGGTATAGCACTCACGCCTCTGAAATCAAAAGGATGTGCATTAAGACTTCAAACTCATATAGTCTAAGCTGACACTCCAATGCACCGCTGAGGTTGTGCTACGCTGTCAAGAGGTGTCATCCTTTGGGTGAGATGTAAAAAAAATTGGGTCACTGTTTATGGGACTTTATGGTATGCAAATTGGTTGCCGTGTTTGCCTACAAATACACAATCACTACACTTTATAGAAAATGAAAACGTTTTGAATATTTCAACATGATAAGGCACTATATGAAATGCATTACATCTTTGCCTAAAACATTGTTATCATAGACTTGATTTTCTAAAATAATATTTATATGTACATTTGATAAAGTTCTTTTAATTTATTCACCTTTCTAGTCATATTTAACAGTTTAAGAGAATTATGGATAACAACTATTAGAAACTTACCTTGTCCATCTATGACATTTCTAAGAACAAATGTAGCCCCCAATCCTTTTCCTGATCGCTGGGTACAGATACCAACAAATCTGCTAGTTTTGGCATTGGCATATGTGTCTGCCATAGTCACAGCAAGGATAGATCCTGTTTGTAAAAAAAAAAGGCTGTAGTAATTACTTTAAATGAATATTCTGAGTATTATTTCTAACCTGAATCTATCTTACATTCTTTTGGAAACTGCAATACATATTAGAAGTTCATAAAACATTTGGATAAAGAATGCCCGTGGGTCCATTTGATCTCATTCTTCCAGAATAGCCACCTCACCATCATCAGATTTTCAGCTTTGAGTAGTTGCATTATGTATCGTGGCTGTGGTCTGGTCAATATACTTAAGACTTATGTGAAGCTGAGTTGCTCACCATGCTGTCTGGGAACGGTTCCTGATACCAGCTATGTATTTAGTAAGAGCTCAAACATGTGACTACCATCTGCCTAATGATCCACATGTGACCATTCTCTTTAATGTGGGGGCTGTGGGGGCAAACATTGATTAATCACCCTATATTTTCAGGGGGAAAATATTTTTACAAAAAAATTCTTTGGTTTTGTCCTTAGATACATACATATACATTATAGACATCAATTAAGACTCAGTTGGTAACACTCACGCCTTAAGCTCATAATCTACTCTATCACTTCAATGTAGCACTGAGAGACTGCTGTATTGTCAGAGGTGGTGCTCTTCAGCTAACACATTAAACCAAAATCCTATCTGCCTGGTCAGGTGGATGTTAACGCTCACACAGCACTACATGGCAGTATTTGAAAAAAGGAGTTTCTCCCATTTCCCTGGTCAAGAATAATCAGGGTAAATGTAATAATCAAGGTAAATGTTCAGCACCCCGAGATGCTACCCCATTCATATAAATTAAAGTTGTTATTGTAGCTGTTCATGGAATGGTTGTTGTGTTTGCCAATAGAATAACAGTCACCACATGTTACATATTTCAACGGGATACGTGTTTCAGAAATATACGTTCTTTTCCGTGTACACAAAATAACAATACATCAACTTCTAACTCAGTTGATTCTCACCATTACATAATCATTCAATGGACTTATTTTTTGTATTACCAGGTCTGTGAGGGTGGGGGAAGCAAGGATTTAATAAAATATTTTTCTCTAAACATATTGGATTTTAAGTTCATTTAGCTTTATCAGTATATTGACAGAATATCCCCAAATAAATAATTTTACTAACCTGCATAGAACTCTGGTATATTTAAGACTTTCCGTCTTTGAACCATATCTTTTCTTTCAATTAAGAATTTTAGGGGATTTGTCCTTCCTCTTGGTGGTATGAACTCAGGACTGACAAACCTGGTTTCAGAAGAATAGTACAAATTTTAATTAAGATATTTGAAAATATTCAGCAATGCAGTCTACGATGTTTTTCCAATAGTAAGTTAAACATTGACAAAATAAATCCATGTTTACATTTTAGCTGTTCTGTCAAAACTTTAGCAAAAGAAAAGTAATCACAGTTTACATTTACTTGTAAACATTTACTTGTTAACAGTACCTTGTTTACAAATGAAAGGTAACTGTTACAAATTAAACTGCAGATTCTTGTAAGATTAAAAAAGGAATAATATATAATAAATACTTTTAACAATATTAGCTGCCAAATGTTATGAAATAATGAATAATCCATGTGTGTCAGCCTGACTTTGATACCATTTTCAAATCTGATTCAGAAGGTTGGGGTTCAAGCTCCATGAGCCTTTATGCTGCTGAGGGCCAGATACCGTTTTGAGACATGTCCGCAAACTACATAAGCAATATTTTTGTGTTTCCCTTCCAGAAACATAATTTACACAGCGCCTTTATCCATGTAGGAAGGACGCCTCAAAGGTCTTGACCCTGCGGCTGGGCACCTGAGCTGGGGATGAGAGGGACGTGGGATGGGGAGGAAAAAAGATGACCAAAAGTGCGGTTCAAGAATTAGGTCTTTTTGACGTGATGGGTAAGAGGGGAGGGAGAGTGTCGGAGGGACTCCAGGAATGGAGCTCCAGAGAGCGGGGCCAAAATGGCGATGGTGGGGCAGGTGGGTGTGAGGGGGGACATGAAGCAAGCCAGTATTTGCTGGGCAAAGGGAACGGCCGGGTCGGGAGATCACGGAGGTAGGCTGGGGAGGGGGAATGAAGGCCAAGGAGGAGTTTCTCACTGGTGAAAGAGGGAGCTTGCTGTGAAACCTTAAAACCTTCCCTTTCGACCGTGCATACGGTCACAGCCCATCCACCCCCCGCGTCCAACCCAACCCGGCTCGGAGTCAGACTGCCATTGTTAAGCACTCTGAGACGCTACCCTGCGTGGAGAGTGCTATATAAGTGCAAGTTGTTGTTGTAAATCATGTGCCGTGCATTGAGACAGCCTCTCAACATGAAATAATAATAATAATAAAGGTGCTATATCAAGTGCAAGTATTACTAGTAGCAGTACAAAAGGGAAAAAAAGCTGTATTTTTCATCAAACAATACTTCCTTCACTTACCTTCTCTGTGATGCCACGGTCTGGGTTTTGTCAATGATGACAGGTTTTGGTGGAGGCTGGAATTTTGATGGTTTGCCATCACTTAATGAGCTTAAAAGCCTGACTTGGGCCAACCGAAACCCTAAAACTTGACAAATAAAAGATAATAAACATAAGACGCAAGGAAAACACAGAAAAATATCTAATACAGTAGTGTATTGATTTATTTTTTCAAAGTACTACATTTTATCTTGCTGATAGTTTTTCTTGAATAGGTATTTCATTTGTATTGTTGTATACAGTCTTCAACAACTGCTTAGGGAACTTGGCCAAAGTGGTCTTTGACAAGGCGCTATATCAAATGCAAGAATTATCATTATTAGTATGTAGAATTGTGGCTGCGCTGTTCCAGGGTGATTGTAAGAGGGGGTGGTTGCCTGAACAGGTTTGACTGTACAGTATACAATAAATTATCGAGGCTGTTTCAGATGACCACAAATGGAAAAAAATTACAGATCTGGATTTTGGTGATTGATACCTTTATCCAAATCTGCTTATGTTTGTGATAAACGTATTCCAGCAAAGAACTTTTACATGAATGTATAGGTTTAGATGTTACTGCCAACATCCTTACTGGACATTTTCATTCAGGCACAGCAAACAAGATTCAAAAATCACTAGGTTAGTTTACCTTACGGCGGATTCTGCATTTGCAGAATAATTTTCAATTTTTTAAAACATATTATTTAAAATAACTGAAAAAACTCAACAGATATGATTACTGATGGCATGATCTGCCACAAGGTGAGTTCACAAACTGCAAGTTAAGTGTTGGAAGACCCTTTGCTGGGTATCAGTAGTCTATCAATGCCAGGACAGTACCAATGTTTACATTTTTGCACTTGTTTCAAACATTCTTCTACTTTCCAAGTAACTTCACAACCTTTGCTTACATGTTTACCCTTCTGATGGTCAGATTTCAGACTAATAATTCTATAAAGAACATATGGCCTTGTTATAATACAGTCACTACACTTTTACAGCCAATAGCTTGTGAAACGCTTTGAGATGTTTCAACATTATGGGCTTCATATCAGTTACAAAGATTAAGTATTACTATACAAATAAAACAATTACAGGAGTATTTTCCTCTCTTAACTCGCCTCAGCCCTTTCCACTCAAGGAGAAATTACATTATTATTACAAATGAAATGAAAAGGTGTTTCAATAAGACCTTTACTATTCAAGTCATTTTTCATGGGAGGAGCAGGTTTACATGTGATTGGACAGTAAGAGACACAAGAAACACATCTTCACAAGTGCTCTGCCCAGTGAGGGTCAGTGACTGTGCCCCCCAGTGAGGGTCAGTGACTGTGCCCCCCCAGTGAGGGTCAGTTACTGTGCCCCCCAGTGAGGGTCAGTGACTGTGCCCCCCCAGTGAGGGTCAGTTACTGTGCCCCCCAGTGAGGATCAATTACTGTACCCGCCCCCAGTGAGGGTCAGTTACTGTGCCCCTCAGTGAGGGGCAGTGACGGTGTCCCCAGTGAGGGTCAGTGACTGTGCCCCCCAGTGAGGGTCAGTGACTGTGCCCCCCAGTGAGGGTCAGTGACTGTGCCCCCAGTGAGGGTCAGTGACTGTGCCCCCCAGTGAGGGTCAGTGACTGTGCCCCCCAGTGAGGGTCAGTGACTGTGCCCCCCAGTGAGGGGCAGTGACTGTGCCCCCAGTGAGGGGCAGTGACTGTGCCCCCCAGTGAGGGGCAGTGACAGTGCCCCCAGTGAGGGTCAGTGACTGTGCCCCCCAGTGAGGGTCAATTACTGTGCCCCCCAGTGAGGGGCAGTGAAGGTGCCCCCAGTGAGGGTCAGTGACTGTGCCCCCAGTGAGGGTCAGTGACTGTGCCCCCAGTGAGGGTCAGTGACTGTGCCCCCCAGTGAGGGTCAGTGACTGTGCCCCCCAGTGAGGGGCAGTGACAGTGTCCCCCAGTGAGGGTCAGTGACTGTGCCCCCCAGTGAGGGGCAGTGAAGGTGCCCCCAGTGAGGGTCAGTGACTGTGCCCCCAGTGAGGGGCAGTGACAGTGTCCCCCAGTGAGGGGCAGTGACTGTGCCCCCCAGTGAGGGTCAGTGACTGTGTCCCCCAGTGAGGGGCAGTGAAGGTGTCCCCCAGTGAGGGGCAGTGACTGTGCCCCCCAGTGAGGGTCAGTGACTGTGCCCCCCAGTGAGGGGCAGTGACAGTGTCCCCCAGTGAGGGTCAGTGACTGTGCCCCCCAGTGAGGGGCAGTGACGGTGCCCCCAGTGAGGGTCAGTGACTGTGCCCCCAGTGAGGGGCAGTGACTGTGCCCCCCAGTGAGGGTCAGTGACTGTGCCCCCAGTGAGGGTCAGTGACGGTGCCCCCAGTGAGGGTCAGTGACTGTGTCGCCCAGTGAGGGGCAGTGACGGTGCCCCCCAGTGAGGGTCAGTGACGGTGCCCCCAGTGAGGGGCAGTGACGGTGCCCCCAGTGAGGGGCAGTGACGGTGCCCCCAGTGAGGGGCAGTGACGGTGCCCCCAGTGAGGGGCAGTGACGGTGCCCCCAGTGAGGGGCAGTGACGGTGCCCCCAGTGAGGGGCAGTGACGGTGCCCCCAGTGAGGGGCAGTGACGGTGCCCCCAGTGAGGGGCAGTGACGGTGCCCCCAGTGAGGGTCAGTGACGGTGCCCCCCAGTGAGGGTCAGTGACTGTGCCCCCCCAGTGAGGGTCAGTGACTGTGCCCCCCCAGTGAGGGTCAGTTACTGTGCCCCCCAGTGAGGATCAATTACTGTACCCGCCCCCAGTGAGGGTCAGTTACTGTGCCCCTCAGTGAGGGGCAGTGACGGTGTCCCCAGTGAGGGTCAGTGACTGTGCCCCCAGTGAGGGTCAGTGACTGTGCCCCCAGTGAGGGTCAGTGACTGTGCCCCCCAGTGAGGGTCAGTGACTGTGCCCCCCAGTGAGGGTCAGTGACTGTGCCCCCCAGTGAGGGTCAGTGACTGTGCCCCCCAGTGAGGGGCAGTGACTGTGCCCCCAGTGAGGGGCAGTGACTGTGCCCCCCAGTGAGGGGCAGTGACAGTGCCCCCAGTGAGGGTCAGTGACTGTGCCCCCCAGTGAGGGTCAATTACTGTGCCCCCCAGTGAGGGGCAGTGAAGGTGCCCCCAGTGAGGGTCAGTGACTGTGCCCCCAGTGAGGGTCAGTGACTGTGCCCCCAGTGAGGGTCAGTGACTGTGCCCCCCAGTGAGGGTCAGTGACTGTGCCCCCCAGTGAGGGGCAGTGACAGTGTCCCCCAGTGAGGGTCAGTGACAGTGCCCCCCAGTGAGGGGCAGTGAAGGTGCCCCCAGTGAGGGTCAGTGACTGTGCCCCCAGTGAGGGGCAGTGACAGTGTCCCCCAGTGAGGGGCAGTGACAGTGCCCCCAGTGAGGGTCAGTGACTGTGCCCCCCAGTGAGGGTCAGTGACTGTGCCCCCCAGTGAGGGTCAGTGACTGTGCCCCCAGTGAGGGTCAGTGACTGTGCCCCCCAGTGAGGGGCAGTGACTGTGCCCCCCAGTGAGGGGCAGTGACTGTGCCCCCCAGTGAGGGGCAGTGACTGTGCCCCCAGTGAGGGGCAGTGACTGTGCCCCCCAGTGAGGGGCAGTGACAGTGCCCCCAGTGAGGGTCAGTGACTGTGCCCCCCAGTGAGGGTCAATTACTGTGCCCCCCAGTGAGGGGCAGTGAAGGTGCCCCCAGTGAGGGTCAGTGACTGTGCCCCCAGTGAGGGTCAGTGACTGTGCCCCAGTGAGGGTCAGTGACTGTGCCCCCAGTGAGGGGCAGTGACAGTGTCCCCCAGTGAGGGTCAGTGACTGTGCCCCCCAGTGAGGGGCAGTGAAGGTGCCCCCAGTGAGGGTCAGTGACTGTGCCCCCAGTGAGGGGCAGTGACTGTGCCCCCCAGTGAGGGTCAGTGACTGTGCCCCCCAGTGAGGGTCAGTGACTGTGTCCCCCAGTGAGGGGCAGTGAAGGTGCCCCCAGTGAGGGGCAGTGACGGTGCCCCCAGTGAGGGTCAGTGACTGTGCCCCCAGTGAGGGGCAGTGACTGTGCCCCCAGTGAGGGGCAGTGACGGTGCCCCCAGTGAGGGTCAGTGACTGTGCCCCCAGTGAGGGTCAGTGACTGTGTCGCCCAGTGAGGGGCAGTGACGGTGCCCCCAGTGAGGGTCAGTGACGGTGCCCCCAGTGAGGGGCAGTGACGGTGCCCCCAGTGAGGGGCAGTGACGGTGCCCCCAGTGAGGGGCAGTGACGGTGCCCCCAGTGAGGGGCAGTGACGGTGCCCCCAGTGAGGGTCAGTGACTGTGCCCAGAGGGCAGTGACGGTGCCCCCAGTGAGGGGCAGTGACGGTGCCCCCAGTGAGGGGCAGTGACGGTGCCCCCAGTGAGGGGCAGTGACGGTGCCCCCAGTGAGGGTCAGTGACTGTGCCCCCAGTGAGGGGCAGTGACGGTGCCCCCAGTGAGGGGCAGTGACGGTGCCCCCAGTGAGGGTCAGTGACTGTGCCCCCCAGTGAGGGGCAGTGACGGTGTCCCCAGTTAGGGTCAGTGACTGTGCCCCCCAGTGAGGGGCAGTGACGGTGTCCCCAGTGAGGGTCAGTGACTGTGTCCCCCAGTGAGGGTCAGTGACTGTGCCCCCCAGTGAGGGGCAGTGACGGTGTCCCCAGTGAGGGTCAGTGACTGTGCCCCCAGTGAGGGGCAGTGACGGTGTCCCCCAGTGAGGGGCAGTGACGGTGTCCCCCAGTGAGGGTCAGTGACTGTGTCCCCCAGTGAGGGTCAGTGACTGTGCCCCCCAGTGAGGGGCAGTGACGGTGTCCCCAGTGAGGGTCAGTGACTGTGCCCCCCAGTGAGGGGCAGTGACGGTGTCCCCAGTGAGGGTCAGTGACTGTGTCCCCAGTGAGGGGCAGTGACGGTGCCCCCAGTGAGGGGCAGTGACTGTGCCCCCCAGTGAGGGGCAGTGACTGTGTCCCCCAGTGAGGGTCAGTGACTGTGCCCCCAGTGAGGGGCAGTGACGGTGCCCCCAGTGAGGGTCAGTGACTGTGTCCCCCAGTGAGGGGCAGTGACTGTGCCCCCCAGTGAGGGTCAGTGACTGTGCCCCCAGTGAGGGGCAGTGACGGTGCCCCCAGTGAGGGGCAGTG